GATCTACTACGAACTAATATTCTCAGTCTGAATTTATTTAAGTCTTCAAGTGACTAATGTTTTGCCAAGTAGAGAGCGCTGAAATTAGTAGTGTATCACAAAAACTAATTTACTACTCTTGGTAATATAGTATAAAAGATTGCTATATAACCATTCAAAATCGAATAAAAAAAAACTGTCGAAATCGCATTTTTGTACCGTAAAATAATGTAACTTGAATAATTCGTAGCTTTAGCTTTTAATGCGGAAATTACTAGTATCTTCCTAATATATACAGCACACGAGTATTCTTAAAGCGGTCTGAATGAATAAATATTTTTTTACGTTGTTTCGTGTTAGACGTTAGAAGTGTTCTATTTACGTCTTGGTACTATAAATTTTTGATGATAACATAGTCTGTTTGGAGGCTCAGAAACAGACGACATTTGAACACCTCACTGAAATATGCGACATACGTGATGTAAAAGTTTACAATCCTCAAGTGGATTATACGTTCACATTTTGACTCAGATTTGATAACTTCGGCTCCTGCACTCCTCGAAACGTTTGTACAGACCAAATTCATCGCCCTGATGACGGAGGTGGTATGACTTCTGAAACGACCAGACTACACAGCGCATCATCCCAGAAGGCAGAAATCTTCAAAAAATATGATTTCACACACTGAGCTTTACTTGATAAAATTTATAATACTAAACAAATTTGAAATTGCTTAAAAAGTTTAGTTCACTACTTACTTTGTACCCGGTTCTCCATCGGACAATTCTGAAACATAAATGATAAATAAAAGTTTTAGAAGGAAAATGATTTTCTCGTTATTCATAAAAATTTCAAGCAACAAGTAAAACCATGAAGACTTTTTTAAATATTTACTTTCAAAATATCACCTTTACATCATTTAAGTCCAATACTCAATACTTAAACAGTGAGCGCCGCTGTACTTACCATGTTCCTTGTTCTTTGTGCACACAATAAAAAGTGTTTAGATGTCGTGTTACACACATGTATTTCTCCAGGCGCGTCGGAATTTCCTGTAATATGAGAATAATAGTTAGTGCAATAATTAGAATAATGTAAACACTGCTCACGATTTTAACTTCAAGAATTATGGAACTCTGTGTTGTCCTGCTAGACGTCGTACTTCAGAAATCATGGGCAGTGTTCGGTATTATGTATATTATTCTACTCTTATCTTGATATTATGGGGGAATAGAATATATATAATACCACTAATCATGTCAATATAAATATCATGCAGAGAGTCTTTATTCGTTATAACTCAAGTTTTATAATTTTTAAAAATGTTTCATCCTATTGTCGTTAATACATTATATTGAAGATTGTCTCTTCGGTGTTATTGAAAATTAATTAAGTCGATTGCAATACGAATTGACTTAAGCCATTCTTTTAGAGTACCAGACGTTAGGTGAAATTACTGAGGTCGGTAATCACTAATAGTGTAATGACATCTTACCTTCATGGGAAATAACACATCTTGTCGATATTTTGTCCAGCGTTGTTTGATTATTGATCCCAAACAGTTTTAATAATCGAATAGCTTCTTTCATAATTATCTGACCATCAGAGTCTAGCTGTAATATAATAAAATATTAGAAGGGGTGTGAGAATATATTTGTAAGGCTTGAAACATTTAGATGAAAATGTTTCACTGCATAACTACCTATTTTTTTACCTACTTACGTAGCTAAGTGTTTAATTAGAATCCGAATTTCGGAGTCCGTAAAATCAAAAACTCGCCGTAGGTCAGACCAGTGTACACCATATCCCAAAATCTTTATGGAACCATTTATGTTCCATAAAAAGCTTGTAATTTCTGCCCTACTCAGTCTATCTATTATTAAATTCCCCAAGAAGAAATTTGATTTATGAAAATTTGTACGGATTCCAACATTTACGATGCGTTATTTTACTATACTGAATTATATATTATTCGATTTAATATATGAAACAATTATTGCCAGAGTAGATTATTTTAGATTTTCATCGTTGTGAGGCTGTAGATGGTAATCATCGGAATTTTAAAGTCTTGTAGTCTTGTGGCTGGTTAACAAAATCTCGATTTAAAATTTCGCCTGAATCTTCAAGGTTGAACTTCGACAGCCCACAAGACCACATGGCGTCGCATCTCAAAATATCCAGTCAACAAGATCAAATGGATTCTTATAGGAGAGAAAAAAATTGTTAAATCTCATAAAAAAGTAATGAAAAGGTTTCATGAATTGAATTTGTTCCTGCCCGAATAAAATGGCGGGGTTTAACAAACAGGATAATAAACAGTCTTTTTCTGTAATATAACGAACTGACCATTTATTTTCAACAGTCGTAGGCTATAGATGGTCTAAGAATCTGGGGGAAAAGTGAAATAAAATAATTTGTGCTCATGTTTTTAATGAATGTTTGAAACTGACACTCATAAATTTACAAACTTTAGAGATACTACAGTGATTTTACCTACTAACGTTTGTAAGTTGTACTCACCAATTGGCTTCTGCGAAGGAGACATTCAGCATAACACTGAAAACACAGCAAATTTTTAAAATAATTTTACTGTACGCTCAGCTAATCAAGAAATTACCATCACTTCATAAGGAAAAAAAAACACATTACCATTTCCACAAGTCCTTACCCTGAGGCATATGAGTCTATGCAACACCTCGAATCATATTTCTCGAATATTCACTTTAATATTATACTCCCACGCACGCCTAGGTCTCCTGAGTTGTCTCTTCTCTTCAGTATTTTCAAGAAAAACTTTCATGACCTGCTCATCTTATTTTCCTTTATTTATTCACCCTAACAATATTTGTAAAGCTTACAAATTATGCATCTCATCACTATGTAATTTTCCGTCACTCAGTCCAACTTAGGTTTAAATATTCATGTCTGTGAACTGCTCTCCATTATCCTAAATATGATTTTCCTGTAATATGAGAGACGATCTTTAACCTCCGTGCAAAAAATAGCAAATTATTGTTTTCCATTCAGTGGTCCTGTCACTTCAAATGATTAAGTATCACTCTTTTATTATGCTCGAAAACTATAATATTTCCAATAAACACAACCTAAAGAAATTTAAACATTTTATATATTCATTACTACAAAGTAGCAATTCTTTGCCAATATATCGTGTTAATGTTGAAGAGAGTTATTTCTTGTGGTTATAATAACATTAAATATAAATATGTTTAAATTAAAGTTATCAGTTTGTAATATTTGCGAAATTCATGTTATATTTTAAAGGTACATTAGCTAAAGCGGAGAATTATGTGTTTAGATACTTTTGTGTTGTGACAATAATATTCTGAATGCCTTGCATATTTTAAAGACGAGTGTAAAATGAACGTGTGGTCCTTCAGCGAATTATAGCTTCTGATATACCAGTATTTATTGAATTATTTTTACATTCTAAATTACGATTGCCTTACCAAGAAAGATTTGTTACTTATTAAAAGTATGATTTTTGATTAGGGCTGTAATTTATTATTGATTTCTCTGCAGAAAATAGACGTGTTACATGGTCACATAAACTGGTACAGATTCATTAATTTAGTATTTTGATTCAAAATGTTAGATGTAATATTCATAAAAAAACATATTCGAGAAACTCAGAATACAGCACAAAAATTCCAGACATATAAATTCTAGTGTAAAGCCAGAACATATACGAGATTCCATGATAAATAAATATACATTGAACAAATTAAATTGTTTAATTAAACAATTTAATGTTATATACTCACGGCTGTCTCATTCGAATCCATGTGCGAAGTCAGGTAAGATTCTGTAGCTGAAATAAGGAACGAACTAGCGTTTTAGTTTGGAATTTCTCATAAATAATCAATTGCATTTGAAAAAGAGTTAAGGGAGACAATAACTGAGATATCTGTCACTTCAGAAGTTATAAATGCTCATTGTGTACGAGGTGCGATCGGAAAGTTTCAAGACTGCGCCTATAAAAACCCGTACACTTATCTCAGGTATTAAATTCATCCATCACCCTCGAAGTAGTTCCCCTGGGAGTGAACACAACGATCCCAGCGACGCTGCCAAGCCTGGAAGCATCCCTGGAAATCTTTCTTTGTCAGCCTGTCAAGCTCCATCTGCGATTCTGCCTGAATCTCTTCTATCGTCTCAAATCTCCTTCCCTTTAGCTGAATTTTCATCTTTGGGAAGAGGAAGAAGTCACACGGCGAATAAGGAGGGTGCGGGATGACGGCCATGGTGTTTGAGGCCAAAAACTGCCGAACTTTGAGGGCGGTGTGCGCTGGCGCGTTGTCATGATGCGTCGCATGTGGAGTTCTTCCTTTAGAATCAGCTGACAGGTCCCATAGCCTATCCCAACAATGTCGCACAAGTCGTTGATGGTACGACGTCGATCTTCGTGAATGGCCTGCCGAATCTTCGTAACATTTTCGGGCGTTGTGCTCGAAGATGGTCGTCCAGAACGCTCGTCATCATCGACAGAGGTTCGGCCATTTTTAAAACGTGAATGCCACACAAAAGTTTGTGCACGACCCATTGCGGACTCCCCAAATGCTTGCTTTAGCATTTCATAGGTTTCCGTAGCCGTTTTGGCGAGTCTTTGGCAAAATTTGATGCACACGCCATTCCGAAATCGCAGGAGGGTCGGTGTAATGCACTACCAAAACGCCCGTAACTAAGAAACAAATGCTAATTCGATGATGCCGGCTGGCACACTGATTCACTATGAATGTAGGCCGCACCCGCTAGCGGCAGAAGCTCGTACTACATCCGGTTCGCCCTCTATTGACACAGTCTTAAAACTTTCCGATCGCACCTCGGACGTTAGACACAAGACCACGATCATGCCGTAAATGAGTTTTATCAGAAAAAATAACAACATACTATGGGATAATAATAAGGGCGGTAAATTGTCCAGTTACAACATTTACGTGAAAAACAAATTACCTCTAATTCCAAAACTTAAACTGATATTATTCCTGCATTCTGTCTTATTTTGTTCCAATTCTTCAACTGAAGGCTTCATTTCATTACAACATAACTGAAACAGTGAAAGTGAAGAAAACATTTTAGTTTTTGTGGCTTGTATTAGAATAAAAATACTATAGATTTTTCTTGCTCTATTAAGATATATTTCCCAATTTTAGAGAATATATGACGACAATGATTAATATGATATCTCAACGTTTCTCAACCGGGGTTCCCCGGAACCTTGGGGTTCCGCGAGAAATAGTGATGAATAGGCTAATCATATGTAAATGTATTTTTGAGTCATTTTTATACTTAATTTCATATTCGTAATTTTACTATACACGTACGACATATTCTCGAAAAAGTCTTGGGTATTATAATAAAGTCTTCAACCTGTTATGTAATTTAGAAATATAATAATCATAAGAAATATATTTAGCGACGTCTATACTATGCCAGCGTGAAACCGCTTTTAGTGGTCAGTGTATAGGAGCTCTACGTGGTGGATTCACGTATCATCTATGACTCAAGTAAATTTTATTATTTAAATTGGCTTCAAAAATAACATTTCCTTGACACATATATTTGTTCATATGACATTTTACTTTGAGTTATCTTATGCCTTTTTAAAATTGTCAATAATTGATTTAGTTATTATCTGTTTTAGTTCTGTTTATATGTGTTATATACGATATTGGTTATTTATTTTTATTTTTTGTGTGAATAAAAACCTCCGTATGAGGTCTCTTGAACAGGCAGTTCGATTTCAATTTTTTTGTATTGTCAATAAACTTGAGAAAAATGTAAGTAATTTTTTGCGTAAACCAGCTATCAGAAAAAATATATCAGATACCTTATATAAAACAGCTGAAGCCCTCGTCCGGAGCGCTTTGGCGTTATTATTGAAGAATTACTTCCAAAATTGTCTTTCAATGTAGTTTTCGTTATGTTAGGGACCTATTAGTACATGCTGTAAAATCCTATCGGGCTACAAGTCGTGTCAAAATGGAGCAGTAGTCTAACCTTTCGGAGACACTCTCTGTCTCCATCATCAGAAACAATGTCGTTCGGTAATGAAATTGCTGTTTCATCACAAGAATGATTCCAAGCCCTGTAGCGTAAGGTAACTTTCGGAACAGCTCATGGACACTAATGTTTAACTGTACTGATTACATTGTTTCTTGGTCGTTCTGAGTTTAATATTCTCAAACCTCTTTTATAGGCAAATTGTAACGCGAGAAATTAGAGGTGACAAGGTTGGTATTAGTAGTGTGTGTCTAGATTGTGCCTAGTGCGAGAAAGTTCTTGTCCGTTGAGAGTCGTTTGCCAGCAACCGGCATACTGAGCCCTAAACGAGGAAGAAATGATTCCTAACCTTGTGAAGGATTATCCTAATACCAGCGTCTACACTGCAGTCGACATTTCCCCACGTCTCCATTTTAAGCAAAAGTTGAATACAACTTAGTGTTTTTAACTTTGATGATAATATTTGTGACACTTTTATTATGTTTTTGATCAATATAAAGGGAGACGAAAGAACTTTCCCGGCAGAAATTTTGGGCATGTTCATTCAAAGGTGGTTGATAATAGCGTGAAATGCAATCAATCAGAAGATCTTAAGGTTGTCTTATACAGACAGAAATAAAATTTTCCAGTTATAGTTATTAATGTATGTTAAAATATTAAAAAGCTCTGTAGTGTTTCACAAAAAAGAATATATATATATATATGTATATTTATATATATATACACAAATATATTTTGTCCTAAGTTACGTAATAGTTGTCAGAAGCATTATCACTCTAAATTTTGTTCAGTTCCGTACAAAATTAACACGCTCACCTGTGCATTAGTATCAACTCCGTTGTCAGTGTCTCGTGTTGATCTGAACTTGACTATATTATTACTTTCTGTATTTAATAAATTTACAAATTCGGAACCACCTGGAAGAGATGAAAATATCATGCATGATATAATATTTTGGGTTTATAATATTGATTTAAAGCAGAAGAAATTTTCAATTAAGTTTTTTTTACACGTACATAAGTATCAGAGTCTAAAAGTATCATATTTTTTCAGCAGTTATATTGTAAATAAATGTTTGCTTGTGTGGACATTATTAGCAAGCTGAATTTATTTTAAAACCAAGACATGAATTAATTTGAAGTCTTCTTCTCTTGATAGAATTCAATGGACTGAAGACTCGATGTCATGCGGAACACGGATAAATATAGCCATTAACCAAACGTAGATTTAAGCCAGATAATCGCCTTTAAGATGAATGTACACTAATCTTGCTTGGTCTCGAGCGTACAAAACCATCATGAAATCTGTTCGCCACTGAACATTATAACAGCCCACAAACTCCGCGTTTTTTGTGCGAAAAGCAGAAGTATTACAGCTCCCCCATTCCTGGTGCTGTATGTGGTAATATCTAAGAACTTACCGGGAATGAAGTTTAGGTTGAAGCCTCTTACCGCCACAGCGAATAGTACCAGAATTATCAGCACCTTTGAGCTGTTCATTATGACTGAATGTAGGCGTTCTTAAACACTTCCGTGAAATATGACTTATATATATATGGAAGCGGACGTCATCTGATGACAGCTTGTCGGATGTCAGCTTCACCTCATTTTTAACACAAAGTTGACAGAAATTTGAAATAAATTTTAAACTATCTTATTCCCGGAAGCACTAGGCGTGTTACAATAGTATGTAGTTAACTATTTCTCATTTCAAATACTTCCAGGATCTTTATTGTTTGTTACGTGTGTCAACGTGGTGTAAAATTTCACACAGTATAATTTTAATGTATAATAAAATGCAGGGGATGTATGATTTCGCATGGATGAACTAACAGAGCTCGTTGCTTTCAATACATTTCCTCGACAGGAAATATATCTTAAAATAGATTTGTAAATATTCTTGGAAATTTCAGACGTAGATGGACAAATATTACTAAAACTGGTGAACTCTGTTCTTCTGGTTAAGGTTGGACTTGATGGTGGGTTTTTTTACGATGGTAATGATGAATCTTCGTTCAGCACAAAAAGGTTTTTATTTTTCTAGCTGAGAGGAATATTAGCTTGGAGTTAATTAATTTAATGAGAATATTTGTACATTTAAGCATGACCTTATCAAAATTACCATTACACATTTTTCAAAACCCAGTTTTTCGTTTCAAATACATATTTATATATCCCGTTAAACATATAATAAATATTTTTATAGTTATAAAGCACACAAACTAATGTACGGTAATTAGAGAAGAATTTATCATACAGAATATTTGGGGATATAAGATAAAAGAGTTAATTAACATATTACTGTGAAATAAAACTGGTTTGGAGTAAGATACATATATGGTTCCTGTAGATGAAAATGTAGAAGTGGTTTAGCGTGATTTGAAACTGGAATTTGAAAACTGAGAGGGATCATGGTGTTAACACAAATTTCAAAATAGAAGATTTTAAAGACAATAATGCCATACATATATTAGTGCAGGACAATTTAAGTAGTAAATGTCTTAAAAACGAAGGTATGAGTGTAGCTTATAACAGAAGATTAAACTGTGGTGAGATTTAAAACATATTTGAAAGCGAATGTACAAAACCAGATGTAATTTGGAAAATATATTTTTTAAGGTATAGTTTGAAATAATGAAGTTGTGGAGACAAGGGATAAAATTATAGTTGTAAGAAGGGAGGATTTGTATTAGGAGGGACGCATAATTTTAAATATACGTGGGACATAATATCAGTGTTGTGCTCAATCATAAATATTAAAAATTGTTGTGATTACTATTAATTCTTAAACTTAAATTGAGTTGTGGCCCATAGGCTGTTAAACGTTGCTCCAGAACTTGGTGAAATTCCATGGAAATTACGGAATTTCTAAAATGTGTTCAGGTTTATAACTTACGAGGTGCGATCGGAAAGTTTCCAGAAGTGTCAATAGCGGGCGAACCGGACGTAGTACGAGCTTCTGCCGCTAGGGGGTGCGACCTACATTCATAGTGAATCAGTGTGCCAGCCGGCATCATCGAATTAGCATTTGTTTCTTAGTTACGGGCGTTTTGGTAGTGCATTACACCCACCCTCCTGCGATTTCGGAATGGCGTGTGCATCAAATTTTGCCAAAGACTCGCCAAAACGGCTACGGAAACCTATGAAATGCTAAAGCAAGCATTTGGGGAGTCCGCAATGGGTCGTGCACAAACTTTTGTGTGGCATTCACGTTTTAAAAATGGCCGAACCGCTGTCGATGATGACGAGCATTCTGGACGACCATCTTCGAGCACAACGCCCGAAAATGTTACGAAGATCGACGTCGTACCATCAACGACTTGTGCGACATTGTTGGGACCTGTCAGCTGATTCTAAAGGAAGAACTCCACAGGCGACGCATCCTGTCTGAGGACCAGAAGCAGAATCGACTTCTCGTTTGTCAGGAGCTCAAAGATCTTGCAAGAACCGACCCCAACTTCCTTTCTAAGCTCCGTGTGACTTCTCCCTCTTCCCAAAGATGAAAATTCAGCTAAAGGAAAGGAGATTTGAGACGATACTACTTCGAGGGTGATGGATGAATTTAATACCTGAGATAAGTGTACGGGTTTTTATAGGCGCATTCTTGAAACCTTTCGATCGCACCTCGTATATAAGGTCGGAAGGAAGTGTATATTTCACACTTTCAACAATCTTTCGTCTCATGTTTTTAGTAAAATTTTGCATATTTACTTCCATGCAGAATTCCAGCTATCCATTCGTAAGACACATGTCTTCTTAAACGTCTCTCCTTTCATTTCACATGCGGTTGTTGACAGACCAAAAGTATCGGTTACCATTAATGCCAGGATGCAAGCTTTTAAAGAATTCTGAAATAAGCTCTACTCAGAGTGCCGTTAAGTCTTTGCAGCAAATTGCCTTGAGAAGTCGGACGTATACGTAAGTAGCTCAGAATTGCATAAATCCTTAATGCACCGTTTATAGGAAAGGAAGCGGTTTTCAGTTTTACTAAAGAAGTTACTTGGTCTCGGAAGACTTGAAAAACTGAGGGCTACTTTGTAGGAATGTGTTTGCTGAATTCGAAACTTAATCCTACAATCACGTGCTTGGAGATGTATGAAACTTTAAGTTCATATCTTCCGCAATATTTGTACCAAAAAGAAAGATATGCAATCTAAATATTTTTGAATTATCGTATTTAAAAAATAGCTTACCGGTATTCATCTCTTGAATCGCAGTCCTACTACTGTAATTTCCTATACAAAATATTGTCTTCACGGAAATTAAAAAAAACTGAAAACATTTAAAATGAGAGTTATTTTTCAGCACTTCAGACAAGGGATTCCATGATACCGCATGTTAAGTACATTTATAAAATTACCTAAACATTATAAAATCTTTTCAGAGAAGGAGAAACTTAATTTTGTGTATATATTCTTCTTATTCAAGGAATTTGTTCTGGTTAAAAATTCGTTTCAAATGGAGAGCAAACGTGCACATATTTTAGGTCCTAATTTTTAAACCTGATCATAGAGTTAACAGTTATTTTCATTCATCCACTGTCGCTTTTAGACACAGTAAATTGTGTCTCATTTCTAGCACTAATACTGAAGTGTCCACTGACGTCAATAATTTTTAGAAGAAATTTAAAAAGAACTTATCATCAGTGGACACTTCAGAAAGAGTTTAAGAAGTGGGGCTTTACTAATGTATTATGTGTGAAAATGACTGACTGATTAAACTCAAAATAATCAGTGAACACACAAGTAAGCTGTACTGTAGAATCGTAGAAATATATTTCTCTGAAAATGTTGGAGAAGACGTTCAATACTACACGGCATCGTAACCAAAAAGAACCCGATGTAAATTTTCTCCACTCTTATAATATAGAATCTCATAAATGTGCTTACCTCTTGAATGGTCTTAATCAAAAATTGCTTAAATGCTGATTTTATGAGTTGTGGTTTTACCAATTCTTCTGCCCCTTTTCAGCAGTGAGACCATAATAGAGAAGAATTTCAGCTCTAAAGTGGCTAACATTTGATTATCATAGTTATCAGTTATGGATCTAAGCTCCTTGTTTTTATCCGATTAATATTTAAATCCTGCTAGTATGAATTCTTAGGCAAGTGACAGGAGCCTTTAACAGTGAATCGACCCATCGCAGATCTTCTACTTACAAAAAGCAACACGCGGACATGCGTCCATGCTCGAATTTGAGTGAGAAGCACTTACGAGGTTTTTAATTTCTAGGGACAATTTATTTTTCAATTTTTTTAACTTTTCATTTTTCAACTCATCCTTCAAGATATAGAAATTGCAGTTTTCGTATGACATATAAAAGCAACTATATGTTATAATCGTACATCAGTGTGTTGATCCTGCGGAAGGAAAGAAAAAGAAGAACAATGTTTCGTGTAATGGTAGACCATAAATTGTCTTTTTCAAATCACAGTGCTCTGGGAAATATTCGCCTAAACAGGATGAAGTAATAAAGGAATTCGGCATGTTAGTCTACTTAAGGATGACAACGTACGAGGTGCGGTCGGAAAGTTTCCAGACTGCGCCTTAAAAAAAACCCGTACACTTATCTCAGGTATTAAATTCATCCATCACCCTCGAAGTAGTTCCCCTGGGAGTGAACACAACGATCCCAGCGCCGCTGCCAAGCCTGGAAGCATCCCTGGAAATCTTTCTTTGTCAGCCTATCAAGCACCATCTGCGATTCTGCCTGAATCTCTTCTATCGTCTCAAATCTCCTTCCCTTCAGCTGAATTTTCATCTTTGGGAAGAGGAAGAAGTCACACGGAGCTTAGAAAGGAAGTTGGGGTCGGTTCTTGCAAGATCTTTGAGCTCCTGACAAACGAGAAGTCGATTCTGCTTCTGGTCCTCAGACAGGATGCGTCGCATGTGGAGTTCTTCCTTTAGAATCAGCTGACATGTCCCATAGCCTATCCCAACAATGTCGCACAAGTCGTTGATGGTACGACGTCGATCTTCGTGAATGGCCTGCCGAATCTTCGTGACAGACAACATAAGAGTTTGTTGGATATGAATGGGTAGGTTTTGGGCATAAGCTATTTACAGTGGTAAAACAGGATGAAAGTGAAAATCATTTCGCTTTACTTTGACGTAACCCACACAGTAATAACATAATTCTATATCGGGTTAACCTTTAATTTCATTTAATAGTTCGTTTGAACGCGCTGGTACGTCTCATATTTTGATACATCGATAATTCATTTTATGCTAAATGAAATTACTACCTGTAAAATTTATTTTTGAACACAGCAGACAGGGCAAAGTGACCTAGAAGTATGAATTAGATTTACGGATTTCAGCGAAGGTTGGTACCAATATCCACGGTTATGAAAAGATAGATTTTAATATTATTTACATACAAGGTAAATTTACTTTTCATAGCCGAATTTTTCTCTTAATAAATTGTATTGAAGTAACTACATTACTTCTTCAGGGCTTTAACAGCATGCCGAGTTTAAGTTACTGTATTATTACCAAACTTTCTGTTATTAATAAAAACGCAAAGCCCTTAAACATCTACCTGTTTTATATACGATGTGATGTTCCGCGCACTGACATAATATCTTACTTCAACCTTTAATGATGTGCACTTTAGATTAATATTAAACGACATGAAAACTGTTGAACCGCAAGAATTGAATACTTGGCATTTTAACATCTTAATTGGCGTATGAAAGTTATTGGACTGTTAGACATAAATACAGGACGTGCCATTTAAAATGTAACTCAACAGCAAGCACGTAATATTGAACAAAAACAGAATAATAAATATTTCTACCCCCGATTGGATTTAGAAGACCAGATAATCAGGACTGTAACTTGAGTATCGACAGACATTAGACCAGGGAATAATAAATTTTAATAATTTGAAACAAATTCGTCTTGTGTTTTGAAATAAAAATCCGATGTGTAATAATCGATTACGTTACACTATTATTATAATTTCAGGCCTAAGTTAGAAATTTCATCTTGTTCCTTCACTTAAATAAATTAGAAATAAAATAATCTTTGGTTTTATACCAAAAATAGCTATTCTACACGAGTTAATTAACAAGGACAGAAAATTTTATTTTACGTGGATAGTTAAATCTCATGTGGGTATTATGCCATTGCAGGAATGTCCATATACTTTACATTTTAATTTCCTCCGTTATGTACTATCATCGTAATAGATGTTGAAATTATGAGTTATCAGGACAGTCGTCTGTGATGACGTCATTACCTGTTATCCTCCCTGATGATATTGTCGCCCTGAGGGCCTTCTGATTATGTCTTGAGAACAGTCTGTATAGTATTGTTTTGAAGGCTGATATTTAAATTATGTCATTTAAGGGAAATCTGTATTCTCAATTTCTAATTTTCATAATCGGTAATACCAACGTGACGGATGCTAAAACTTGTAAGATGATAAAACTATATTTCCTGAAGAAGTTATCGTGGTACTGGAGTATATCAGTTGTTCTATGAACTAATCATGCTGTCATATATTTGTGACCTGAAAACTGTTCGTTGTACCGTAAGTCCACGGCCGTCGAGCTGCTTGTCGTGTCCACTATGCGTTAAAGTAATGAAAGTAAGTTCGACCTTTCAGTTTACGTAAGCAAATGGCATCGCCTGTGGAGCTGACGTCTGGAAAATAAGTCTGAACGGAACGTTTCGCCATGTGCTGCCTGCTTGTTTGCAAGCGACGAACATGGCGTAAGAAATATCTTCATCTCTATGTCTGAAAGAAATGTTTATTGCTGAATTACAATTGTTTGAATGTAAAATTTATTGTTATTATTATTAATCTTTTCTGTCTTCATGGTTTCTATATATTCAGGACATCAACCAGTTCAGATATCCTTTTCCGAACATTGTCGCATTGTTCACCTGAAACATAAATAAACTTTTAAAACGGTCCATCGTACGCACGCACGCACACACACACGAAATATTGAATTCATTGTTTGTTTTATATGTGTGTGAAATTTCCTTTTCACTTTTATGCGAGAACATAAGGAAGACTTTTGGACCTAAACGCACTGATGCAAGTGAGAAATTTGGAAACTCGATTACCAAAGAACATTTGGGAGGTAAGTTCTGAGGAAGAGAGAGGAATAGAACTGGCCTAGGATTGGCTTTCAAATTTTGTTGCCTGTAATACTTAAGACTTCTCTTATAGTCTGAAGAGATAACAAATTTTTAAAGTAGAAAATATAAATAAATTTTTCACGCTGTTTAAACAACTTCTTAAAATCACATAAATCTCTTCTTCGTTAGTCATAATTACTTTATTCTTTAATAAAATATTCTTTTATATTTTATTAATTTTATTGATTGTACTCGCCGCGAAAGTCTCAAATCCTATATTTTATTCTTGCTTTTTGAAGTTTCACGTGGAGTTAATATTTAATGGTATCTCATAGCTTACATTCTGTACATATGATAAAACATAATTTCCTTTGTGCTCAGGCCTTTCACAATCATTTGTAGTAAATTTTACACATCCAAAAAAAAAAGACATTACAATTATAATTTACGATGTGGTACTAATACTTTAACTGTTGTTTTTCGTAACGATCCGAATTCTGGTCGTGAAAGAAGGAATACATGAATAGAAGAAGTCGTTGGAAATCTGTTTTCTTCGAACTGTGCCAGGATACAAAATGAATAATCGCAAACAGAATGCAGATTTCGGAGAAGTAGAAATGATGAATATGAACATAATAACAAGACACTACCGAAATGTATGGCTGGAGAATTCGAAAAAAATCGAATCCTTAATATGTCCCATCAATCCTATCGGTCCTACAGCCTCGTGAACAACCCCCTTTTCCACCTTGTGACATGATTCATGACTTCATTAAGTTACGTCAGCAGAAAATAATGTAGACGTTCCTCATACCTTCTCCCTGATTGTGGTAGAAACTTGTTATGACCCGTATATTCCAGAAGAAAAAAAACATCTATAAATATTATCTCCTTGGGTCACAGAGACGATTATCTGTTCAGAACCAGTCATGTACCACAAGGGAAATTTGATACCAGTGTATTAATTATGTATTCATACGCGAAGGAAAAATAGTTACAACCAGTGCTAATTTTGGCATCCATGATCAAAAATGTGATTGAAACATTAATGAAGGAAATAATTAATTTTCATATTGAATCAAATAAATTCATCTTTAATTCCGAGGAACCCGCATTGCCATTGCTTATATCCGTTACAATTTAAATGCTAATGTACACATTATTTTTTTCTATTATTTTGCTTTATTCTTTATTGTATTTTCTTTATTTAATGGACTATTTGATGTTGTTCAATTTAATATACTTTAAAAATTTAGACCCTTTTCATATTTGAAAATAAATATTTGTTGTTATTAATTTTTTATTAATTTCAAACAACATCAACTATCCCTTGAAGAGAAACGCGACAGATTATATTCAAAATTGATTTATTTTACTTACCAGCGACCTTCCGGTCATCGGGGCAGCTCTGAAAAAATAAAATATCATTATTTTAATATTACATGACATCACCAAATGTTGTGATTGGCTGGATAACACGGATGCGAGAAACATTAAATAGCTTATGTAAATTATAACGAGAGTGTAATTTACCTGTCGTTCGGATTAAATGTGACACGTAGTCTCTTAATCCAAACGAAGGTTATACATTAAAAGATTTTCCAGCCAGAACAATATTCTGAGGATAATATTTGGTTCGAAGAGACAAGGAAAATACCATAAGAGGGAGATGGGATGGACACGTAGAAATATGGGAACGTACGTAGTGTCGGTAGGAAACCAAAAGGGAAAGATAATTTTGAAAATATAATATTAAAACGGATTTTGATATGGTTCAGAATAGATTCATATGACAGGATTGAGTCCAGTTGAGGGCTGTTATAAATATGAAAAATCTGAGTTCCGTATAGGGCAGAGAACGTCTTGTCTAGCTAAGTGACTACTGCTTCTTTAAGGACTTCGATCTGTTGAGTCAGAAAGACAATTACCTAAGTCCTGTTAAGCTTCATTCAGTGAATCATAATTGAAAATAGGACTTACTGCCTTCAGCGTTTCTGATTGAAGTGCTGGATTGTGCCACACTCGTAATTCTCAATCGGACTAGACCGCAAAAACCTCCTTTCCGATACTTTGTAATGTATTATTAGTCAATCATTCTGCTACTGATAGCGTCCACACATAAGTAAATAACCACAATCCCATGAATCATAACATTTTAATTAATACACATAGAGGATGTACGGAGGATATCTATTCATGATTCTGTTTAAAGATTAACATTCTCACAACATATATTAAAAATTATTTTAACTTACATCTTACCAGCTATGAGAATCGTCATATAGAATATTCCACATCATTTTAATAAATACAACCGAAATAAAGGAATAATATAATCTTCCTGTAATTTTCTTAAATTAAATTTATTGCTGTTATGTGTGGTTATTTCACAGTTGGATCCGAGATTTACATGAAACGACTTCTAAATTTCTATGTATTTAGCAGTAGTGGACATTTCAAGATTAGTTTTGTCGGGATAAATATGAAACTATTAATTTCAGAAATATTTTTAACATGATCATACGTATACCAGTAAAAATGTTTACTTACAATTTCCACCATATATTTGATACAGTCACCAATAACAGCAGAAGCTATGTTACATTTCTGGTCTTCAAAGTTGACTTCTCCTCGTTCTGAAACACAACGATAAATGTAAGCTTATTAGTCACTGTAGAACCTGTCAACTCAAGCAATAAAAACGACCTCCTTGGACTAAAAATTTCTGTGTAACACAGCAAAGAATCATTTATGCTTGTTTATGTCCAAGAAACATTTCAGGGAATTTAAAGTAACAATATAAATAATAAAAAGTTGGAAAAACTCGCCAATGAATATATATTGATGAAATATAATACAGTCTAGAAACTTTCCGATCGCACCTTGTAAGACTCCGGCTAAGAAAAAGGTTTAGTATAAAGAAGCTTGATTTGATACGGGATGTATGCTACAATCGATTCTGTATTTAATAAATAATTTTGGGACGACGGCCTACAGAATGGACAAGGTATATGACATATGTAATATGCTGAAGTTTAGAGCAGTAATTTTCAACTTTTCTCATAAACATTTATTATTCGTTTGTATAAAGGAGATTCCACTGAGAATTAACTTAGAAACTGCAACAATAAATGTAGTTGAAGAGAATTATTTAACAGCGGTTTAGTTGTGGAGAGAGAAAATGGATTTTTTTTCTTCGAAATATAAAACGCACGCTACGAAGAAAATTTTTAAATAACAGGACGATTGCCATACTAATGTTTTATATGGATTCGAATAAATTAGAAGGAAGAGAAGACAGTAACGAGTTTCTTGGAAGCGGTCTCAAGATAGAGAATTATAGATCACAAGCTTAGTGAAGATTTAAGAGAAGAACTGGGTATTACGTGTATTAACACAATAATAAACTGAAAAAGAAAATAGCTAGGGAATTTTGAAAGAATACATGAAAACCGGATTTGAAAACTTCTTCATCTCTTCATCTCTATCTAGATTGTAAGATGCCGAGGCTGTCTATAAAAGATGGAATATCCTTAACAGAAAGTGAGCTTGACCTATGATGATCAAGACAAATAGCTCAGTAAATAAATGATGATGTTTCAGTGGTTTAGACAAGGTTCTTAAACCATCGATGAGAAGAGCGTGCCAAGTTCAGAAAGTGAAAGCCCTCATTGTATCTTAGGAATTTATCAGCGAACGAAACTCTTAAATATCGCAAATAGATGACATTCACTTATAATTTCGTGGATAATTTGGACGAAATGACATAAACATATTGGTGGGAAATATATCAGATGCAGTCGCTTTGAAGTAGAACACGAACAAAATACAGTTATGAAAACTTAATTTTAGTGGGTTTGAATATACAGGTTGAGCATTAAATATGCGAGCATAACCTAACAAGATATACAATTTCCGCGAAATTAGAACGTAAATTATGTTATTTAAGATTATAACATCGTATAATCTTGTAGATGTTAACGTGTCTGAGAGACATGATGCCTTCATCTTAAGGGTTGAAAGTTGAGGTGGTATGTTCCTCCGGAATGTTGGTAAACCACCTACAAGATTATATGTTGTTGTAATCTAAAAAACCATTGTATGCAAAATGGTTTATTTGAAATAAATTTATGTTATCAAGCAATGTGCAACAAATTGGTTTACTAGAATAATTATATACAGTGAAGCAATCAGACCACTTAGTGATTTTCAATGTTTTAATGTTTTTACTACTAAGTAATTTTTATCAATCGAAATCGAAGTTTGTTGGATTTTCCTTTAAGAGTTTACGAAGAAACACTAATCGCTGATACAATATTTGACTTCATAATGTCCTGTGCTGGTAGACACTTTTGAGCAAAGTTTAAAATGACGTGTAGATGCAAGACATAAGCTCACTTATTTGCAGTCTCATATTTTGAAAGATATAATGACAAAGTTTAAAGTACATCGGAAATACAATTTATTGCTGCATAATTTGTGTCCAGAAAAATTTTAAAATAAAATACTTATATAAACTTGCCTTTGGAAAAGCTGTTAGCAAAATCAACGCATCTTTTTATAAGATCATCTTTATTTGCAAATAGTTGACCGTAACCTTCTCTAGCTTTAACGTAAGGTATCACTTTTTCTGCATCCAAGTTACCATCTCCGTCAACCTGTAACAAAATTTCATGAAACACTTTCATCATAGTATTATAATGTTTCTTCATTTCTTCACTTGGAAGACTTTACAAAAATCCTTTTCTTATAAACTTGTACCGTTTCTGCTCAATTCCAAAATTATAGTTTACATTATTTCCACTTTTGTAAAATAATTTTTTAAAATACATCATATTACTTGTGTTACAAAAGGACTGCCATTTGAGGGGTTATTTATTGCTTTAAAGACTAAATATTTTAATCGATTCATTATATACTGCATTTCAAAAATTCTAAACAAGTTTGAATATGTTTAAATAAAAATATTCAAAAACAATATTATTTTTATCTAGTTTTGTGGTATTTTATTTTTTCCATTGTTACTGGATCTGGAGACTGGTAATGGCGGTATTCTACTGTTATCTCAAAATATTAAACCATTATTTTTAAACGCACGTTTCACGAAATTAATTACTTTTTAAAATATCATTACATTTTTTCGTAACTCTAACATGATATTGTTTTAATACTAGATATGAGAGATAAAGCAAATGTTTAATAAAAAAATTTAGTAAAGAATTCACGTGGGTAACTGTTGTTTAAAACAGTGACAATGATTATTGATACATAAAAATAATTAATAAAATTCATGTCAGCGGAAATCACTGTGTAGAGGAAAGAACACTTTCTAATTTACTGTTCATTAGTCAGAAACTGACAATATTTGTAATGACTTCAGTAAACTTAGTTACCAGTAACGAATCTCTAACCACTTGCTACGTATACTTGCAAGGCAAATATAACGGTGGCTCCTGAAAGGAAAGTTTATAATGGTTATATTAAATTCCTTGTTTTTAAAATAACGCCAGAGAATAAGTCGTTATAGTAACTGTTTGGAATAGTAATTTCTACGATGTGTGTCGGAAAAAGGAGGATGTTTCGGTTGTTAAGGAGGGCTTAAGGACATCAGTCATTTCTGGTTTTTACACGAGTCTCAGCAGGCCTTTCAAAACACTTAGGTTTTCTGAGGACAGCTGTTTTACCCTTCACTTAATTAATCATGCTACAGTGTGAATACAGCCAGTCACAATTTCCTTTTGTCACGCGGATAGTAGTAGAGGTTGTACAAATATAACTCAATTATTCGTTTTAATCCGTCTGATCACAATATATTAATTTAAAATTTAAAATTTTATAATTAAATATCTTAAGTATAACTCAGTTTTTTGCTTAAAGCCATTGGTATCAAGAGAAAGAGCTATACGACCAATAGGAAACATGATAACCAACCGAAAGAAACACTGTAGTTGAATGAAAGAACACGAAAATCGCTTTTTATATCGCGACAGAGGCTTCTGGATCCTTCTGGACAGACAAATCTGCAGAAACAGCGATTGGCCGATGAAAGCAAACGGAAAATTTAGTTAAGGATTAACAGTTACTTGAGACATTAATAAATGGAAGTAAAATTTTCGAATATCAGTTAAGTGATAGACTATCTTGCTATAGTTCAGATTCTTGGTTCTTCAACCCGTCACTTCTTATACACTCTGTTCACTTCAAGGTTGTTTCGAACAAATGTTTTTCTTTTCACACATTTCAATCGAAAATTCTTGTTTAAGTACACTGAGAGTAAATGGAGTGTGTGGATTATGACGGGCATATAAAATAAGTCTGTCTGTTATCCGTACATAGCTCATCTGTAGTTGATACATACGCTAAATGTGACTTTAAAAAATGACTATTCCACAGAAACTTACCAAATCAGATTTCTTGACAGCGCAGTCCACGAGACACTGTAAAGTAAATAAATATATTCTATTGTCGTAGGATAAGAGCTTATAATTACTATAACAAACTATAAATTTATGTGGGTAATTTTACCTTTATATATTTAACTGTATAATTTTATGTTTGTTACTTAAATTTCTTGTTGTAGTTTTCTTGATTCTCTACATATGTTTACGTGTGTTATTATGCAATAATTCAACTATTAAAATCATCTTCATTTTCTTCACTTGAATATAATTACTCACATTCAAACAACATTTAAGTTTGAAGTTTGGTATCTTCTAATTAACAGACTAGCATTTTATTTGTTGTAAAACATATCCCCTCAGACATTTTTCTGTAAGACAACCCAAACAAACTGGAAATGTCTTACTATGTGGAAATAGTAGGAATAGGGCAATAGAATAATATCGATTAATTTTCCATGACAAACAGTCGAACCTCGGAGTAGGATATTAGACATGCGTTTGATACGTTAAATATAGGAATTTAATAGTTACTTACGACTATTTGTTTCAGACTGTACTCTTGCGATGAATCTGAGAAGAAAAGAAGTCAAAATAATTAAATTCTTCGTACTGTTACAATTGACGACATAAATTTCTGGGCTGAAATTCCAAAACTGAAGCATACCGAAGGGCCTGCCGTTATTTTCTTAGATAATATCATATAGACGTATCGAACTACAGGTTGCATCCTAGGTCATATACGAGTCTACCACTTCAGAAAAGTATTACCAGAGTGAATTCCTTGAAGATGTCTCTCTTCTGGACTGCAAAACCATGTATTCAGGAACTTGCTATCTCCATCACTAGGACGATGATGGCTGCAGCTAACGCCTCTGAAACGTCTATAGATTTCTACAAGGCCCTGAAGGCAGCCATCTTCTTACTAGCCGCCTGTAGAACTAAGCATGTTTCTTTTTCTGAATCGCTAGTTACTACTGAAAAACTGATCAATTTAATAAACTTTTTTCAAAAAGACTAACATGAACGTCTGATGAAATTCTTTCCCAGGTCAACTCGTGACTCCAACATTCATTTACCTTAATTACACTGCGTGTCGTTTAGGATTCCTTTGCCAAGATAATTGACTGTTAACTTTTCGAGAAGTATTCACTTACAAAGATGGAACCTGCTTAAAAGTTAAATGCAAATTTGCTATATCACCAGTTAATCCTCGTCGTCGAATAAAAACAACTCAATTCAGTATTTGAATAAAAATTTTCTTGGATATTATCCATCGTCTAGTAAATATAAAACGTAAAAAACGACGTTTCGGAGATGGGACTCTATCTCCGTCTTCAGGTTCCT